TTACGACTTTAACTTATACGACTCGGGCCATATATGCGATGACTACGCCTACATACAATTAACCGCATATACACGTACAAGTTATGTTGGCCATATACCTCATAATATTATTATATGTGCGCCTAATAGTATGCAATGCCAAATTTTTAATGTTCGTATATAAGCGCAGCGCCAACACAACACCATTGGCACACACTACACATACAAACGTAAGCACAACGTAAGCATAACGTAAAAGTGGAACATTACAATAAAGTTGCAATTTTAGTGTTGGTAAACGCCGCCAGTCCCTTTGCGCTGCTGCCGCGGTGTTACGTGCTTGCAACGACTTTAAGTCAGTTTGCGAAAAAAGGAATTATCAAAAAATTTAATACAAACCAAGCACTAAATATGTTGGGCTCGAATACATACAGTTGGCATTTGGCCCATGACAACCGTCGACCAACACTCAGCGTTAGCGGTCGACGAGTGTTGGTCATGGACGTTACGTGCTTCACCAAAAAATGTGAGCCAAGCCATTTTTGCTCGGGAAGAGCTGGTATCGGCATCAACTACTATGTGCACATATTGGAATTGTGTATACATATGTACATGTCGTTATGTGTGTAGGTTCTGCTATAAAATACTCCTACAGTGGCTCAAAGAGCATGAAGGAAGCAACATTTTAAATGGCTGACTTTTGCAAAGCCGTTTTCTTTTCACTTACGTATGAGTTACAAACTGTTACATTTTTTATTTTATTGTCCCGTTGGCGTTCTTGCTTGTTATTTAATTTTTAATGTCGCTGCCATGAAAAACAAATGTTTTGCGCGATTTCAGAAGTCATAAGTTTTAAATTTTATGCTAAAATTTACTTACTAAAAATAAGTTGAATACTTCAGCCAAACATAGATATTTTTAAATGAAAAGTCCTACGACATATCGACCAAATATACAACGAAAAATAGGAAAGTATTTACAGAGTTACCTTCAACCTACGGTAGGTATACCTTTAGATGTTTAGTTATGGAAGCAGTTATATATACCATATATATAAATTTTTTTAAAAAAATATATTTTAAAACTATGATTTTGCTGTAGAAATTATTTTGATTAAAAACTTATTATTGTATAGTGAGAATTTGGGACTACAAAAGGGCTATTGTCTAACATAAGGGATTTTGTAGAGGAAGGTTATTGTTTGAATCAACTATCATTGTAAATATTGAAAATAATTTAATTAAAAAAATATTTAAATATTAATAGCTATTTTGGGAGAAACAATGCTTATGCAAAGATAAAAAAAAATATTTTAAAAGCATATTTATTAAAAAAATATGTTTTATGGTCAGAAGTTAAAAATTTAATTATTCTGCTTTTAATGTTAAAATTGCATGAAATTGAATTAGCAATTTTAATTGATAGAGCAAAGCAAAAATTCATTTAAAAAATTACTGCAAAATCAAAAAAATTTTAATTAAACATTTTTTAAAGCATTTATGTTTATTTAAAAATAATTAAATAATATTGTGCAAATTTAATGAAACTTAAGTATTTTCATTTGCATTAATTGCAGCAAATTCTTTCTTAAAAAATTAAACATTAAAACAATATTTTAATTAAATTATATAAAACATATTAAGCAAAAACTTTGCAATACTGACTCATTTATTTTAAATGACATGAATTACACAACAACCTGATATTTATTCATGTTAATATATTTAAATATATTTGCATGTATGTATTTATGTATTCACAGCTACATATTAAAGCTTATGCAGAATTTTGCAAGTTTTCATTCTGCGTTTGGAACTAAACACATGGTTTAGAGTGCAGCAAATAGTAAAACAGTAAAATAAATAAATTGTAGCAACTGAAAGTTATTTGCATATGAAACTCAGAAGCAATTTGCATGTAATGCGGTAATCGATTGATCAAATTCCAATCAAATGCACAAGTGCACAGATGCACTGCAGCCCCACGCACTCGCACTCGCACTCGGTACATGCACGCATTCATGTGCACAGAGCTCTGAGTCCCGTACAGACTTTTCAGATGTGAAATGCAAATTGCTTCATTTATAAATTTTATTTAATTTAATTTCATTTGAACACATAAGAAAAAATTTCTTCTGCTTGTATGCACAACGAATCCGAAAGATTTTAAATATATTTTAACAATCTTATAAATAAAATATCTTAGAACATTATTGATTTTCAGAAATGAAAATTTATTCAAAAGTGAATAAAAATTGCTTATAGCCTACCTGCTCATGTGCTCACAACAATAAGCAATAAACCTTTTCATGTCCACTATCTAACTATCTTTCTTGTCCACTATCTAAATTAGATCAAAATCCCATCCCAGAGCGAAAGATCTCTCTGATTCCTCTCCATACAACTATAGTTATTCTGACCTAGCTAATGACTTCCTAATGGCCTTTGATTTGGAAAGCTCCTAATAGTTAAATAAGTTAAAGTATTATTTATTTTTCATATTTTATTATTTATATATTTGAAAATGATTTTATTTTGCTATAGTTATCTTGAAAAAATCTGACACTTTCGATAAAATTAAAATTAATTTAATTAAAAAAATTAAATAGGCAACTCAATATTGGCATTATTTAGTTAATTTAATTTTAGCTATAAAATTATTTACAAAATAATTTCATATACGAGAATATCTGTTAAGGATAAAATAGATCTAGGTTTAATGAAAAAAATTATTTATCATCAATTTCTGTTCTTTGAAAAGATGAACTAAATGCTTTGCGCAAAGTGTCTATGTAAAATATAGAATATATTATTATATCTAATATAGAGCATTATAACATTTAAAAGATTGTCTTCGAGTGTAATTCACTTCAAAAATACATCTTCAAATTTTAATAAAATATATTCGTGTGAGATTTTAGATCATATGGTTGCTAAGTTTTAATCAAATTAAGTGCTCTTTAGAATTTAGTTTGCTTAAACATAGATTTGAATTAATAACATTATAATTTATGTAGAATATTGATGTTAAAAATATTTTTGTGGGTTATATGAACCGATTATAATAGTTACTAATTTATCATTAAAATTTTTGTGTCAGCAATTAAAAATTTATATACTAACTTATATCCCACATAACAGGGAAGTATGTTCATATAAAAACTTCTCATGTTCTTAGAACATGAAAAAATTACCAAAAAAAAAACCTATAATTTTATATGTACCTACTGTGTTGATTTGGGTGCTATTCAGAAGAGTAACTCTAAAACAATCTACGAATTTAGTCGTAATAATATAAATAGAGTAGATAAACAGTTTATTCTGAGTATAGGGTCAAGAAGTCCGTCCAGAACACTCGCGGGAGTACACATATAATATATATAATCCCGGCTATGTGTACGTAGCCGGTTGTGTTAGGTGTCGATCAAAAGTGTAAGGCATAAGAGCCAGTTGTAGCTTTGGTTCATAGAAAATTGTTTCTTGAAAGGTACTCAAAAGTTCAAGTCGATCTGAAATCTGGAACTCAAAATATATTAATCCGCGTATGTAGTGTTTAAACTAATTAGAAAGAATAGTTTTTATTTATTAGTTAACTACAAAATCATTGTATTTTTTTTATAATAAGGTTTTTCTAAACCGTTATAAAAAAAACTATTTGTAAAAAATTGTAATTTTTTATATTCAAGAAAAGCATTAGTAGTGCTATTCTAGCTTTATTTTAATCCATTTTAAATTGCTGTATTACATGAAAATTTATATTAATTATATTAAATACATAAAGCTTATAGCAATGGCATTTTAGCCCTCTCCCGGAGAAGCATTATAAAAGTCAAATAAACCCAAAAGTTAGAGTAATCAACAGTTTTCTAATTATTTACATGGAGTTCAATTGGAGAGGTTTTACTGAAAAGTGTAGACCAAACTTATTAACTGGTATTAAGGGCACTCTCCTCTTTTCACATCAGTGATTTATGGATGAACATAGGTTCTAATATGAATTTAATATAATTTTATTCTATAATTTATTGCAGTTGAGGTGTTTTTTTGAAGTTGAAGAAAATATGTCAATACAATATTGAGTCGATGTCTTTGATTGTATACTAAGTATATGTATTAATGTGAAATGCTGCTAAGTAGTCCTGCATCAAAGCTACTATTCTGTGTTATTAACTAATTCAACTGTGCAGTCCAGTTTAGTGTGTATTTTCATAATTTTATATAAAATTACTTTCATTGTTGTTATTGTTTACGGTTTTCCTGCTGTTTGTTGTTTCTTGCTCTGCAAACAATTTGCAAATCAATCAAATTTCTTTATTTCATCCATCAAACAAATGCCGTTGCCATATTTACTTGCACAAATTCTGTGTATTTGCACACTGAACTACTGTTGAAGTTAACACAAACTGCTGAGCACTTCCTTGCACGTGTGTAATTTGTGTACTTTGCATTTGTGTGCTGTGTAAATGTTCAAAAATATTTTCCAGATTTACTATTTAAACAACAAAGTAAACCTGTTTGCATACGGAATTTTAAACAAATCTCTAAGCACATAAACAAAATATTGTTTTTGCCTATGAACACTGCACTCTCCAACCCTTCGAGCACCATTCTACCGTAGGTGGAATGGTAGAATTTTTAAGTAATATTCCCACCCAGCTCACTCCGGCCGAACCCTAAACTAAAATTCCATAACTAAATTGAGAAATTAAAATTGCATAAGTCAGGGAACCGAACTCTGCACGGATTCGGTTGAGTTTCTGAGCAATTTTTTATTGTTAAATAAAATCCATAAACTAAAATGTCTTTCGTTTTATTTTGTCGCCTTCCTGGCTGGCACTATTACACATAATTGAATTAATTTATTGCCCATAAAAATGTAACACGTCGTTTCAAATAAATTGATGCAGTGTAATTGGAAATTGTAACACATTTTTAATTGAAATTTCTCACACATAAACTACGTAAATATTTAATTTTCAATTATTTGCACTACATTTAGGGAGAATTGAAAATCAGACTTACCTTGCGAGCAATCTGGTCCTGTCCAATGCCGTTCACAAACACATTGTCCTGTTTCTAAGTCATAAGTACCGTGCTCGGAACAGCCGGGCAAGCACTGATACACTTGCTGATCAATGGTACCGCAGTCCTCACCTTGCCAACCGGCCTTACAATAGCACTGACCAGCGACACATGTGCCATGGCCCGAGCACAATGGATCAAGGCAATCATCTGTGTGTTTTTTATGTTTTTATGATAAAGGTTGCGTTGCATGCCCGACGTTTGTAGGATTTTGATATATAAATGGCAAGAATTAGCAGCAAAAGTCAAAGCAACGCACACAATGAAACGGAAAAAAGATAACAAAACAAAAGGAGATTAGTATGTTAGACACGTACAAAAGTGGTCATTAAAATGGAATTCGAGTTAAGTTGCAGTTGGTAGCACTGTAGCACTGTAGCATCGTATCATTGGAGCACTGCTGGCATAAGCATTTTGCCCTGGTAATGCTCAGCATATAAATTTTTCTAATTTCAGCGGGAATCATTTTTCCCTTTTTCATTTCTGCTTGCTCCACTTTATTTATTTGTTTATTTATTCTGTTTTTATGGTAATGCTTGATAAAGGGGTGTGGCTATGTGGCAATGTGGCAGCTAGCAAAGTGGTTTTAATGTGGAAAACTTTAATGTTTAGTTAATTATTATTTACGTCAAGGATACTGTAAGTAAGTGTAAAGGGGTTTTCTAATTATTAGCACATCAAATATTTATGTAAGGAAAGTGTGCAATTGATACATATTATGTGAATGTATATCTATGGAACCTCATTTTATAAACACACAACCATTACATAAAAATTATTCAAAACTCAATTTTTTTACTAAATACTAGCTATATATTTTTGAACTTCTAAAATAACAAATTGTATTTCGTATTTCATAGTTTGTTATTTATACAAAAAGTTAAGAAAAATAATACTTTAAAGTTAAGAATATTTGGAAAGACTTTAAAAGAAAGAAATTGACAAAGCAAAGTTTTTACAGTTCTAATTTGAAAGTACAATTCCACTTTACTCATTTAGTTAATATTATTAATTATATATTTATAATGGTTACCTAAAGCGTCGACATTAATAAATAAATGTGCCTATTAAGTGTTTGTATTATGTTTGAAAATTGTTCATGGAGTCTCCTTTAAAAAAAACTTCTTATGCCTGGTCCACACAACAAAGAAACCACATATGTGCCATGCCAGTATCCATTCTGTATATTTTTGTGTCAGTTTGGTTGTTATTACTTTGAAGTCGCATCCACACATAAGGCATGCCTACACCCACTAATATTGCTCATAGTGTTTACGAAAAACCAACTATGAAGAAAAACTTTTCACAATTTCTTGTATTTGCAGTTCCTTTCACAGAAACTAAGTAAGTATATAGTACCAAACTCTAAACTCTACCTTACAGCAGTCAGCATCACTGCCAACACAACAAACAAACAAACAATTTAAAATTTTTACTTTACATGTTTTTTTAGCAACTTGGCAACTCTTGTAAATAAATTAGAAATAAAAAACACATTGAAGCAGTATAAACTGTGTTCAGATGTGTTTGTCCACACTTACGTTGATCACAAAAAGGTCCTTTCCAGCCACGTTCACAGTGGCATTCACCTTCAATGCAACGTCCATGATTCGAACAGTTCGGTACCTCGCATTCGCCCACAGGTATATCACATTCGGAACCCTTCCAGCCCTCTTCACAGTGACAAACACCACCACCGTAGTGGCCGTGAGCGGAGCATAGCACTGGACAGACGCCTGTTATCGATGTTAACAAAAAGAAAGTAAATGAAAGCAGAGAAATTTTATGTTATTTGCTTGTTTGTAAGAATTCTAAGCTTTTCACAAAAAAAAAAAACAAAAAATAAGGAAAATTCTGCATCAAATCAAAAAAAAATAATAAAAAATAGAACGAAAGCAAACAGCAAGTGTTGCTGTTGTCGTTATTGCAAAATGAATGAAAACAGGTGACGATGACAGGTTTTGTTTGTTCTCAGTAAGATTTTAAATTGCAAAACTAAATATAAAAGCAGGGTTGTTAAATATTTTCAATGAAATGTTTTTATTTCGTTTCAGCTTTTCGAGACTTATTACTGAACAATATTCCAAGTCAATTTTAATAAACAAAACCTTTGTGAAGTGATCATTTTTATACAGAAAGTTTATTTAGAATTTAATGTCATTTTAACAGAGAAAAGCAAATGTCCTAAAACGAACTTTATATCCAAAAGAAGCAATAACATTTTATGTAATAAAATAAAATTTTCATTTTGATTTAATGATCTTGAAAGGTGCTTATTTTCACATTTAATTAATACCAATTTCATTATCTAATCCAAATAGATCTTCAATGACACATACTTATAAATTCGAATATTTGATAGAATCCTATACCCTTTAACAGATGCGATAAAGAAGTGATTTACTTGATTTAGTTTGCTAATACATTCGATGTATGTTCCATGAGCGAAAAAAATTTTAATATTATTTCCGTTAATGCTCACCAAATGCAGACCTGTCCCCAGTGGGGTCCATTACTGAGTGGATGGTAATGTTAATGGTAATTTAAAAATCAACATATATTGAGTGTTAATTTTTAATACCAAAAAAAATAAATTTTGCTGACATTTTTTTTAGTTTGCATTCTTATTAGAGAAAGAAAAATTACCCAATTGAGTAAAATATGAAGAACAAACAATTATTTTAGTGATTTGTGAATTTAGTGATCATGTCACATGAACTATACTTATGCATATGAAGAATAGTTGTCAATACTCAAAAAAATTAAATTTTTGTATTTCCAAAAATGTTTACTTACTCTTGGAGCAATCGGCGCCCTGATAGCCATCTATACAATCACATTTTCCCAAATAACAACTGCCGCGTCCTGAACAATCGTTTGGACATGTAGTGCTAACACCCTCAGCTTCCTCAACAATCAATGTTACCGAATGCGCAACTAATTCATCATTGTACACAGAAATAAACCATAAACCAGTATCTAAATACTGCAGCAATGACACATTAACCATCATTGTATCCATGTCTAAAGCAGGCAAACCGCCCATACTATCTGGTCCGGTTGCACCCATGGCAGAGCGCTTTTGCAAGACATGTTGATTTTGTTGTTTAGCATGCTGTTGTGCATAGTACTTAGCAGTGTCCAAAGGTGTTTCAATGTCCATCTCTTGTGGAAAATTACCATTGTACTCATCCGAGCCGAAATCTTCGAAAGAGTCATCGTCATCGTCATCATCAAATTGATGCCCGTAGTTAAAACGAATACCATTTGTTGTTTCGTGAGATGCACGCTGCAAATCATCGATATTTGTATATTCACCACCTGCAGCCAAAACATCAATATCCGCGAAATCTTTAAAGTTCTGTGTATCACTTCCATTACTTTGGTCGTTACCATTTTGCCAGTGTACTGCGCTACGTCTATGCCGCAAATGACTATCCAAACGACCGCCTTTGATGAACTCTACGAAATCGTATTGCGTTACGGAGGGAGCGACATTACGACGTGAATAGACCGCAAAATTTGCGCCCCACGGTAGCGTAAAGTTAAAACGTATGAATGCAGGATGTTTATTGCGAAATTCTAAATTCCAAAATTGGTAAGCCGGAATGTTAGCATGGTAAAGCTCATTGAGTTCTTTCAGTTCGACAACCTGCGGCCACTTCAGCAGCTGCTGCTGTTGCTGTTGTTGATGTTGCGCACTATATGACTGGTCCTGCAGATGGGAGGCATCTTGTGGTATGCCAGCCGCTATTTGTTGATTTATGCTATGCGGTTGCTGTTGCAACAACAGTTGCTGCTGATGCTGCAACTGTAGTGAGGGTGCCGAATTCTGTGCCCCACCACCGCCTCCATTGCTGCCAACGAAATTTGCGCTATGATCTGATGTGCTGGTCTGTACCGATTCTTCTGTGGGATAAGCTGTCGGTAACTGACTGCCACCATTGTTTGCTTTTGCGTTGCCATGTAAATCATGTGGTTGTGATTTGACATCTTGGACTAGGATGCAATTTGTTGTATCCATGTTGGGTTTCATTGAGCTCACAGCTACAAAAAAGAAAAGAAAAAGGTTTTATAAGAATGAGTTGAATTTAAGTTAAGAGGATATGTTTAACACTTTAAATATTTTTATTGAAGTGGTCTTGGACACAACAGCACAAAGTTCTTGAAATTTCCAATGATATATAAAGATATATAAATTCGGACACTGTGCCATTAACTATTTAATTTTGTATTATTGCATTACTACTATATCAGTCGTCTGACGCCATATAAATTAAAATTAAAGCAAATTCCTGATTCTTAAAAACTAATCTATGTACTACGGAAATAAATACAGTTAACTTACATCAGACACTCTAACATATGCTAATGCTCTCATATTAAATAAAAAACCGAACATTTTTAAAAATACCACATAAATCACATGCAGTAAAAATATTAGCAGACCTACTCGTAGAAGATTTTAAATGGGAACCATGGACCGATTTAGTGGCAAAATGTTACTAATGTCCCTGATGGTTTAGCACAAAAAAATGCAAGCTGGTAAAAAGTACATATGCCGCACGTAGTTTTTCCTCATTGCGTACATGTTTAACTTTGCCAATAAAATTTTTGGTGTCTTTCTTTTTTGTTTTGGAACCCTGAAGATGGCCACAAAATGCAGCAATGAGTGAGCTTCGAACTAAACAAATTTAGAAGCACGTTTTGCAACCAAAAAAAAAACAAAAAAAAATATTAAGCGAAAAAATAAAGGCAGCCAAAGTTGTTCGTATGAAAATCGATTACTTAACCATAAATTATGAGTTGGCATCACTGGCCATACTGCTGCGGAGTTTTAAGACCTCTGCTTAATTTTTGTGGATTGCTCAAAGGGTGCAAAGTAGTTTGAAGAGAGAAAGTGGAATTAACAAAAGACAAAGTGTTTGCTGTTTTTGTGCTATTTACCGCTCGCTTGTCTGGGTTGGGCGATATCATAAAATCGTAACGACAGCCAGCATTTAAGCTCGTAAATCATATCTCGTGCACTTAAAAAGTCCCTTGTTAAGAGTAGGGACTTTCCTGCAGAGCCCTTTGTTTTTCCACTGCTCAAAGTAGTTTTTTCTTACTATACCACTGCATACTTTTCGGCATTGGGTTATGTATCATCGATAATTCGCAAATTCGCCTAAAAATCTTTTTGTAATTTATTGATGGTTATGTCATAATTTATGTGAAAAAGAAATTTTCTTAAAAATTGTGCTTTTGCTTTTTAAAATTTTTAAGTTCAATAAATAATGTTTTTTTATTTGTTATCGCCTATGGTTTGAGAAGGGTCGGTTAAGCTAAACACTGAAATGGATATCTTATTGAGAATAAAAAAGGAGTTCCTAAAATTTTTTGCTCAACACATTACAAATTTTTGAGTAGTTTGTGAAAGTTATTAAGAAAACAATCATTCCATTAATATTCTAAAAAATATTATTTCTTTATTTACGCAAATAGTTTTTAATAAAAACCAATAATCAACAGTATTTTTCAAAGTGAAATTTAAGCAAAAACATTATTAGAGTCTGAAGTTTCATTAAAATTTTTTCTAAAATTTATTTTTATATTTTATATTTATTTAAATATAATTTTCATTTGTGCTCAACACATTATATTTGCATATCAACTGTGCAAACGACTGACGTCATATTGTTAGTTTTTATTTAAGTAAATAAAAAATAAGACTTCTGTTTACATTTCTATGGAAGTACTATTGTATTATTCAAAATAGAGAATCTATAAAGCATAATTGTAAAATGACAACTTCTTTCAAATTAATTTTCAGGCCTTTCTTTTATTTGTCTAAACGTTAGAGAAACTTTCTTTTTCATATGAAATTGACAAATAATGGGTTGGTTACAAATGGAAGTGCTAAAGGAATCTAAATGTATATGGTTTCTAATTAATTCAGTATGAAAGGAAATTTTTTTCATTCAATTTACGCATTCCTCATAAACTTGTAACATAATATCGATTCGACAGTAATTCACCATTTAGTTGCCTACATATGCTTTGAATATAAAGTGTCAATTTAGGTCAAATCAATATTAAATAGAATTGAACACAATTAGAGTCCACACACGAGTGTGTTTAATGAAACTCACTCGCACTGTAGATGCACTTCAAACTAATTAGCCAAGTCCTTTCAATAAGCGTCTCTTCGTCGAACATCTCTTCTGCATGTTTATTTTAGGCAGCATAAAAGAATGGCGCCCTAAATTTGTGTACTCAGTGGCACATAACGAGTCCTTATTACATTTAATTCGTGATTGTGGAAGTAACATTATCTCTCCTTTTACTTAATGCCTTTACGACTGACTATTCAATATTTGTTTCATTAGTGGCACTGCTTGAATTGCCTATTTCGTTAATATTGGCATCGATAACAGTTAAAGGACTACTCAACCCCCATCCCCACCTCCAGAACACTAGCAGCGCCGCATACAATAACAAAATAAATAACGAAATGTCAAAATGAAGCGGCACCAAAAAGGGTGCGGTCATACGTTTTGTTGTCACTAATGATGTTACGCTCTTGTCATGTATGCATTTCATGGTGTTGGTGTTGGCGTTGGTGTTGGTAGTGGGTGGAGTGGAGTGGAGTGGAGTGGCAGACAAGTTCCTTCTTCTCAAGTCCTTGTGCCATAATGGCTTTTTCTATCGATAACTATAATAATGGTAAATTAAATAAACCACAGTAAACAAAAAGCCCTCGTACGCCACGAAATATAATAAAATTTAATTGACAAGCAACACAACACACAATTGACAAAAAGCGTGTTCGTGTATGCACGTTGCGGTTCTCTTGCGACTGTAGCGTACATGCGTTTATTGCGTTTTCTGCGTTTAGTTTAGGTTTGT